CCGCCCCATACCATCGCGGAGGCTGAGCTGGAGGACCCGGCCATCAAGGAGGCGCAGCAGGCAGAGCAAGTGGCTGAAGCACTGGCTCTTGAAGCACAACGTACCTGGAGCCAGGCCCAGAAGGCCACGCAGGCCTTGCGGAAGGACAGAGGCTTTGGAGCCATCACCGGGAGACCGCAGCCCAACGATGGCCGGTGCTTCAACTGCGGAGGACCCCACCTACAACGTGACTGCCCGGATCTACGACATCGACATGGCTTAAAGGGCAAGGGCAAGATGAAAGGCTTTTGGAACGAAGCGGACGACTACTACGCCAACTTCAGCGGCTTCGGCAAGTCCAAGTCCAAGGGGAAGAGCAAGAAGGGACATTGGATGGATGTCCAAGGACTATGGAAGGGCAAGGGAAAGGGACCCAAGGGAAAAACCAAGGATGGCTACCGCACCGTGAATGCCTACTCCTCAGAGATGTTCCTGGGTGGTTTGGAAGTTATTCATTCCCTGGACCTTGCCGCCTCTTCCACAGCAACGACCTCTTCCAACGCGCCGCAGCTTGGAATGCTAGACTGCGGTGCTACAGCATCCGCAGCACCAGAAGCTGTGGTCAAAGGCCTCATCAGCTCAGTGCTTTCCATCGACCGTGGAGCTCGCATCGACATCGATCAATACTCGCAGCCCTTCTTCCGGTTTGGTAATGGTAAGTGGGGAAAGGCCTTGTGCAGAGTACTTATCAGCAGTTCTTCTTCTGGTCGTGAGAGACAGTTTGCACTGTACACGTTGCCGAATCCAGCTGAGTACTTTCAGAACAAGCTCGATAAAGCCTCCTTGGTACCCGTCTTGATCGGTATGGACTTCTTGGGACCCCAAGGCCAAGGCATGATGATCGACTTCAACACAGGTCTTGCCATGTTTACGAAAACCAGCGAACCCCGACCTCCAGTACAACAACTACAGATGACCTCAAAGGGGCACTATGTTCTCAACCTGGCTACGTACCTAACTGGTGGTAGAGCAAGCCCTGGACACCCTCAAGTAGTTGTTCACAAGCAGTCGGCAGCATCAACCACATTAAGCAATCAGCTTCTTGAGTTAGGCACCGTGTACTTTGACATGTCAGCCAGTGACCATGTGATGCCGACTCTGACTGCCGTGTCCTCTGATGTCATGTCTGAGTCAGTTCAGAACATGTACTGGTTGCTTGATCAGTCACGCCAGCTCAGCGCGAACTCGGCCACAGCTGACTTAGCTCAGATGACAGGACCCAGTCCTACGACAACCCCCGCAACATCTCCTTCTCGATCCCCTCACGGACATGTCGACCCCCGGCGCGACGACTGTCAACGAGGAAATCTACGTGGCCGAGATCAAGACGAAGACGCCCAAGGCCAAGGCGAAAGCGATGCCCTTCGACTTTGCACGGAAGGTCAAGGGCGACAACCGCGACCCGAGAGCATCGAGCACCCAGTGGCCGTGCTACAACCGGCATGTGGCGGACTACCCGAAGGCCAACGCCCACGGGAGATGGACCCACTGCTGCATTTGCAATCTTCGCCTGGAGTATGTCCCCCGTCAAGGGAGCCACGGGCAGACCACTCAGAATCAGAACCCGGCGATGGTCCGTCGGATGCTCACCCAGCTGCAGCCGTTGATGGGAGGCAGCAAGCCGACGGCAGCCATCTGTTTGGCGATGCAGCGCAAGATCGATGCCGAGGAGCAGCTGATGCATATGATCAACGAGCACAAGAGCGACCCGACAAGGACGACTCCGACGGCACCACAGACGGCGAGCCCAGGCGAATCCTCCAACAGCAGCTGGCAGATGACGGGCGACACGGAGGACACCAACCTGGCGATGGCGTACGAGGCGGACGGCTACCAAGGACAACAATGAAGGCCGATAAAAAGGTCACTCCCAACTACGTTGGCAGGCGGATCATGCAACTCGCGGCCATGATGACAACTGCGACCTCCAACCTTCTGTGCGGCCTTCACCTACAAGACTATGACGGCGTGTGGGAAGTGGCGTGCTCACCCCACAGCTGGTTGAGCGAGGCGTGCGAACAACATGGACTACAACCTCGCAGGATCAACTACCAGGAAGGATACGACCTCTACGTGAAGGAGACCTGGCACCGTCTATGCGATCTTTACGAGAAGAAAAGGCCACGGAGGATCTGGTTTTCTTTGCCGTGTACCAAGTGGTGTCCCTGGACTTCCGTCAACTACAACACCCCAGAAAAGCGGGAGATCCTGGAGGCCGCCCGCCGCAAGGAACGCAAGGTCCTATGGGAAGCGGTGTCGTTCATCAAGTATGTGCTCGAAATGGACGAAGAGACGAAGATCTACTTCGAGTGGCCCCATCCGTGTTTGGGATGGAAGCAACAACCAATGATGAACCTGGAGAAGCACCTAGAGGCAGCTGGCTTCATGTGGATGACGTGTCGAGTAGATGGCTGCAACTACGGAATGAAAAGCAATGATGGCGAAGCCTTCGTGCACAAGAAGTGGATGATCAAAACCAACGACGAAAACTTTCACAAGAACTTCCGCGCCAAGGTATGTCCCGGCAATCATCAACATGTGACCATTGAGGGCAGCCTCACATCTCAGACAGCCTACTATCCATGGCGTATGGTGCAAGCAGTGGCGCGACACTGGCGAGATCAAACCACTCCTGCTCGACATCTACGGCTACTTCATCAACAGCTGGCCGAAGAGGAGATGGAAGAGGAAGCTCCTCTACCACTGAAGAACATCACCTACCATGAGCTGGGCCCTGCCTCAGAAGTTGAGATTCGAGACATTCATGATGAACTACCCAACAGCCTCGGGACAGCCACAGCTACTATGCCATCTTCCGCGGAGCATTATGCTCAAGCAGCCCTGAATGAGAACGACTTCCAGTTCACGACCCTGGAGCGGCTGCTCATGATGTTGAGACCCAGAAGTCTCATGAATTCGAGTGTGCATCACCGTGGCACACAACCGGGAGTCAACAGCTTATTGTTTGGTGCCTTCTCCCACGGCAACTTCCGAGGGATCACCCGACGGACGATGCAGTCGCCCTCATGCGTACTCTATATCAACAAGTTCCTCCAGCACCACATTCCGGATGGAACTTGGTCGAGCTTCGTCATTAACTTCGATTGTCAGACCCGGCTGCACTGCGACCACCACAATGCTCGGGGATCCTACAACCACCTCGTGGGAATGGGAGCCTACAGTGGCGGAGGACTCTGGCTACAAGGACAACCACCAGATGGATATGTGGCGGTTAAGCGCAAGTCGGAGCAAGGCTACATGATGACTGGCTACGTCATGCCAACCAAGCACAGAGTGGTGACCTTCGATCCGTTCACTCTTCATGCAACGCAGTCCTGGACCGGACTCAGGCTCAGCATTTCGGCCTACACCACCAGACTGGCCGATGGACTGACCATAGGAGAACGGAAGATGATGGATCAACTCGGTTTCTGCCTTCGAGAAGCAAGGCGAGCGCGAGAGCTACAGACAGCAACGGAACATCAAGAATTTCGTGGTGAAGTGCCACCACAAGAACATCAAGAACCTCAAGAATCTCCTGGTGAAGTCCCACAAGAACCTCAAGAATCTCCTGGTGGGTCCGTTAGATATAGTGCGCAGACAGAGTCCGAAGAGCTCCAATCCGTACCACGACAAGAACGACAAGCGTGGGAGGCTCGTGTTGCAAAGTTCCACAAGGCAGCTGGTCATCCCACAAACAAGAATCTGGCACGGATCATTGCAGACGCTGGACACCCCAAGTGGAAATCAGAGATAGCCCTACAGCACAGATGCCCAGCATGTGACAGCCTACGCAAGGGTGGAGATAGTTCAGGCCAAGTACCTCCTGTCGCGACCCACCAGCAGTATGCAGCATGGCAAGCCGTGGCAGTGGATGCTGGCGAGTGGATACCACCCAAGACCAAGGTCAAGGTGAAGTTTCTGGTGTTCATGGACGTGGCCACGAAGCTCAGGGTTATCTACCCCTTGTTCACCTACGGCTTCCTCGAGATGCGAGCCGAGTCGGGACAGGATCTTATTAGATCCTTCTCGGAAAGATGGCTTGGACTATTCCCAAAACCCAAGTACCTCCTCCTGGACTCCGCCAAGAGCTTCTCGTCGGA